CATTGTGGATCAGCTTCTCCCTCTGCCCAGTCCTGCCTTCCTCATACATAGATCTCCCGAGAATGTACCCTAATAAGTCTTCCACATGGAAATGTGTCTTCAAGTCTATTTCCAGGGAAGCCATCCTAAGACACTGCTCCAAGGACTTTGCTGATATCCCTCTGATATCAAGTTAGGTTGTATTTCCCTTATGGTTAACTCTCGGATCCTCACAGATTAAATTAAATCCTCCTTGAAGAGCTCCGTACCACATCTTTACAGCATTTATCATAATTGAAGCTTTATATTCCTGCAAGTGATTATTATACTCTATCTTCCCCACTAGACTAAGTTCCATGAGGGCAGAAAATCACATCCATTTTTTGCTCATCGTTCAATCCTCTAGGTTTAGAACAGTCCTGGCATATGGGAAATGCTCACTACATACGTGGTGAATGAAGGAGAGAGTGAATGAATGACTGCCTTTTGAATGAAGAAATGTTAAAAACAATCCTAAGGCTTTAAGGAATATTTTTGAATGCCCTTAATAGTAATAAACACTTTGAAAATGGATTTGAAGTTTTGGTAGTGGTCAAAAATTATGAGGAACTAAATTTAGTTAATGATAGTGGTTATAGTTTTGGTGGAGACCATGTGTGACCAAGAAGTAACCAGAATTCCACTCCTATAAGGTTCTTCCACTGTTTCTCAGAAGTGAATTCTCAAAGAGAAAGAATTTTGGAGTAGGGTCATAATGATCATGAAATATGTAGGTGTGAATTTTGATGAAACACATTCTGAGATCTTTTAAAAATCACTTCTTCAGTGTGTGTCTAGCATCATGTTCAGGACAATAGAAGATTCAGAATAAATGTGATGCCCAACCTCTGTCACCCATCGTCCCTCTGAATATGAGGAGTTAGAAGCTTCAGAGCAGGACAGGGTAACCAAACGTGTCATGAGCTTTGGGCTCACGGTTCTAACTCATTCCCATTCCTGACAAAAGAACATGTCTTAAGGATTCATGTTCCATAAAATCTGAAGGGCACTATTCTCCACTTACAATGAGTCCCAGCATGAACACCACACCCAATGTTCCTATTTTATTTTCCTGGAGTTGCTAAAAAAGTGATGTGAATTAGTTTTATTGTATGCATGTAGATGTCAGCTGAGAACAGGCAGGAGTGCTTATCACGTTTATTAAAAGTGAACACAGACAGTAGCTGGGACTATGTTTATTTATCTTGTGCCTATGTGTGGGAGACTGGCCCTGTGACATTAGTCACATCGTTCCCTGTGTAGGTGGGGGTGCTCCTTTTTGAAGTCTTAACTCTGTCAGAACTTCAACTGGACTTGTGGTTGGTTTTCATATCAGCCCAGCCTGAGGAAGATATGCTAATGTCATCACATGTACTCATTCTGAGCTCTACTGAGAGAAAGGCTTTTTATAGCATTAAAAACCACAGGCCATGTCCTGCTTTCTGTGTGAATTTAACAGGGTAGAGTCAAAACTGTAAGTGCCCTTGAATCTGATGTACCTGCATTCGTATCACATATTAGCACTATAACTTTGAGTGGGTAACTTAATCTCTCTGAGTCTCAATTTCTCCATCTGTAAAATGGAGCTAATAATATTCCTACCTCATAGAATCCTCTTATAAAGGATCTAGATCTTATCATCTCTTGGTAAGGGGTCAGAAAACTTTCAAACTTTTCAAGCCATGGAGGTAACAGCAGTTATTAGGCATATCTACTCTTTTTTGCCTAGCTGACATCCATTTCTCATTCTTTTCCATCCTGATTTTCCTTTGGAGAACACACTCTTCTGCTGTCAGTCCCTGAGATGTAGATGGGACAGACCTTCTCTCTGGCTCCTGGGAACATCAGTGATCTCATCCTGGCCAGTGGAACTGGTTGTGGTTGGGCATGTGACTTGAGGTGTCCACTGAGTGTCTTCCCTGGGAAATGTGAAAGACCTGTTTGTAAGGAAGTGTTTTCTTTCCATAGGGTTGCTCAGTTGTAGCATATGTATGGAGACATTGGTGGCCTTTATGTGGGAATCACCTGAGTGAGAGTGAGGCTAACGTTGAGGACAGCAGAGCAGGGAAACAGGAGGAGAGATTCTCAGGGAATCCACGGCTCAGGCACCTAGATTAAGCCAAGCCATGAGCTTCTTAGGCATGAAAATCATTAATTTCATTTCTTAAGTAACTTCATTTTGTCCCATAAGAACCCAGATAGTCTAGCAAATCATAGTAACTTATTCCATATGTTAATCTTTTGAATTTACAAGTCTTTTCTTCCAAAGAATTCAAAGACTATCTCATAGATACAAAAAACTTAGAGATGAAGGAGGCCTTCAGGCCTACCTAGGATGGCAGACAGTAAGTCTGTGACACAGCTGGCATAGGGACCCAGGTTTTCCACCCCCCTAGCTAGCAAGCTTAAGCATCCCGGCCTCTCCTGGTGTGTCTGCCTCCATCTTTCTCACACCTGAACAGAGCCACCTGTGTCTTTCTTCTCTGAGGTGCCTCCTCCTTCTGTCACCACATTCAAGGAGTGGTTCTGTGCTTTCCTCATTCCTTCCACTGAGGAAGATGTGTTTTAAGAGAAGGAAGTCCAGGTGTGGGTTTTTTTTTTTTTTCTTTTCTTTTCTTTTTAGGTATGGGTCTTGATGGAGCATAGGCCAGGGGGCCTGAACTGTGGACATAGGACTGTTCAGAGCCCAAGGCCTTTCCTCAACCCTTATCACCTCATGTGTAGATCCTTCCAGTAGCTGCTTATGGGTCCCCCACTCCCAGCCTCTTTCTCCTTTATGTTATCTTACACAGTGTCCAAATCATCTTCCAAAACAATTACTCTGGTCATGCCACTTTCTTGTTGAAAAACTATCAATGACTCCCTATTGCCTATAGAGTGATGTCCAAAGTGCTTCACCTAGTGTCCCCCAAAAGCCTGAAAGGGTCTGTGCCCCTCCAACACAACGAACTCCTACCTAGGGAAGAATTAGTCACTTGGAAGAATCAAGTCCATTCTGAGCTCTGTTGGAAAGGAAAACATTGTCCCTCTCACAATGTCTAGCATCTTGCTATCTTTTGATTAATTCTGATGCTATCATATAAAAATCATTCCCCCAGCTACCTTCCTTTATTAGTTCACAGTTCAGTAGGTCAAAATTTGGGCACAGCATGGCAAGGTTCTTTGGTTAGGATCTTACAAGACCCAAGTCAAGATACCCGCTGGGCTGCATTCTTACCTAGAGCTCAGGATTCTCTTCCAAATTCAGATGGCTATGGCACAAGGAAAAGGCCAAAATGCCAGAGATATTGATCTTGTCATCCTGCAGCTACTGAACTGATGCCAGCATCACTAATCTCCAGAGGACTTGTTACATAAGGAAAATAAACTCCTGTCTGGTTTAATCCACTGCTCTTTGGGTTTTCTATGATATGCTGCTGAAATCAACCCTTAACTGATACAGCTCCCATGACTATGCCATTCCTACCACTCATCCTATTTCTTTAACCTCTTTAAGGTTCTTCTTCCACACCCCTGCACATTAATATTCCCCAGCTTCCATTCCTGTCCTCCTCCCTCATTGTTTCCCACATGACTCAGTGGTGCCTGAAGCTTCCCAAGTCACAGTGAATCCAAATCCCAATAACTAGCCCAGACATTCCTCCAGAGCACCAGACCAACAGGTCTAAATGCCCAGGGAACATCTCTATGCACCTGTCTCATATACAACACAATCATCGCTGAATTTGCTAGCTTTTCCACAGTTCTGCTATTCCTTCCACTGGAGCGAGATTCCCTCTTTGTTCCTCACCTACATACCCAGCTAGTCTTGATGTCCTAGCAGGTCTCTTTCTAATGACACCAATCTCCTCCCACATCTTCAATCCTACTATTTTCTACAGGCACTCACCATCTCTTCCTGGGCCCCTGCTTTAGCCTCTTAACCAGGTCCTCTGCCTCCCATCTACAACCCAAACTGGTCTTTTAAAAATGCAAATCTACTCATGTCATTCCCCTTCCTGAAAGCCTTCAGTGGCTCCTGGGCCCCCACACGAAAGCTCTCCAATGACTTTTCGTGATCCAAGCCCTACACATCTTATCAGCACCCCCTTAGATTACAGCCACATAAAATCACCTGCACTTTCCCGAATTTGCCATGATTTTTCTCACTTCCTTGCCTGGCTATCCTCTATGCCTTATAATTTTTGGAAATTGTACAAAAACAGTGTCAAGTGAATATTTAAGAGCCTGACTTGGGCCCTTGTCTTCCTGAGCTTTTTCCCACCTATGCACACAGAAACTCGGTGGTAAAGAACTGCCAGAATCCCAGAGAGTTTGCATTGTTCACTTAACAGAATTGCTTAATTAATCAAAGAATTCTCTGCATACCCCTTTGAACCAATTTGATCAAAATAAATATCAGTTGCCTTTGTCCTCTTTTATACATTCTCATTCAAAATTTTACCTTTATCCAAAGTAAAACATCCCATCCCTCTGCACTCAGTGGGAAAGGAGATGTTTACTTTAATGTGCTAAATTAGGGGTTTCTTCTCTTTCTTCTTCTTTTTCTTCTCCTATTAAAGTTTACCTGCCAGGATCCTGGAATTTTAGGACCCAGCCCCTAAAATTTTCCTGAGGAAGAAACCAAGGTTCTGTTGACTCAGGATCATGGCACTGGGGCGGTGGTTATTAGTGGAACACACTAGACACCCGATATGGATTCAGCTCTTTCCATCTCACTGTGAAAGCACAGACCATCTCCAACTCACAAAGAAGGCTCCCTGTGCTTGCCAGGAGAAGAGAGCAAAGTAGCCCCCAAATAGCTCGTTAAGCTAATCCTCTTACATCACTCCACTTGAGGCACGATGACAACATAAGGGCTTTAGGAAGAAGGAAATTAGAAGAATTATGCCCAAGGCTCTATTTGCCTGAGGAACAGATTAGCCCTCTCCCCTTCTCTCAGACTCTGTGCCCCACCCTTGGGATGGAGGAGAGCCACTCACCCTCTGTGTGACAGGCTTGCCATCCTGGATCTGCACAGCCAGCCCCAGGTCAGACAGCCTGCAGTTGCCAAGGTCGTCCAGAAGCACATTCTCTGGCTTCATGTCCCGGTAGACAATGCCGAGGGAGTGGAGGTGCAGGATTCCACAGGTCATCTGGGCCGAGTAGAAGACCACCCTGCTCATGGCCAGGCCCCGTGTGCCAACATTGTAGATGTGGAACTTGAGGTCCCCTCCATTCATCAGGCTCATGACCAGGCAGAGATGGGACTTGCTCTCAAAGGCATAGGCTAGAGAGACGATGAAAGGACTGCTGACTTTTTCCAAGATTTCCTTTTCTAAAAGAGCCATTTTCTCACCACTTTTCTTCTTTAGCCTCTTCTTGTCCAGTTTCTTGCAAGCATACATCTTACCAGTGTTTTTCACCTGGACAGCACATACCTTAAGGGGAGAAAGAAAGGGACCAGATGAGGTAGAGGTAGGAAGCACTGGGAAGTAAAGGGAGCGAAATTGATTTGGGGTGTGGAAGGGCAGAAATCAGGTGAGGTAAAAAGATGGCAGGCTTCTGAGAAAAAAGAAGCTGTACGTAATAGGGGTTCTTCAAGAAAGAGCTGAGACCCCCATGAGGTACCACTATACCTCCCACTAGGTGGGCCATAATGAAAAATAAGGGGAAACAGCAAGTGTCAGCAGGGTGTGGAAAAATTGGAACCCTCATGCATCACCGGTGGGAACCTAAAATGTGGACGATTTTGGTGGTTCCTCTGAAAGTTAAACATGGAATTGCCACATGACCCAGCAATTCCATTCCTGGGCATAGTTACAAGAGCAATGAAAACAGGTCTTCAAATACATGTACATGAACGTTCGTAGCAGCACTGTTCACAATAGCCAAAAGGTGGAAACAACCCAAGCGTCCATCAACAGATGAATGAATAAGTGAAACATAGTATATACACACAACAGAATATTCAGCTATAAAAAGAAATGAAATACCGATACACCTATGTCGTGAATGAACCTCTAGACACTATGCTTAGTGAAAGAAGCCAGACACAGAAGGTCAAGTGTGGTGTGACTCCATTTACACGAAACATCAGAGTCGGCAAAACCATGGAGACAGAAGACAGACCAGGGATTGCCAGCGGCAGTGGGAGGGGTTGGGGAGTAACTGTTAACTGGTACAGGGGTGATGAAAATGTCTTGGAACTCCGTAGAGGTGATGGTTACACAGCATTAGTATGAACATACTAAATGCCATTGAATTGTATATTTTAAAATGGTAGGTGGTTAATTTTGTTATGTGAATTTTACCTCAAAACATGTCTTTCTCAGACTCACCTTGGTAGCACATACACTAGAAAATGTTTTTCTACTTAAAAAAAAAGAAAGGGCTGATCACAGCAGTGGTATATAGCTGATTCTAGACTTTACTTCAAGATAAGTGTTTTCTCAGATATCTGAAGTTTTTCTCAAATTACATCCAGTACCACAATTAAAGGGAAAGGGAGAGGTCCCGCTGTCTGTGTGATGCTATCATTCTCCAAAGTGACCGGGGCACTTCAGTGTGCTTCTAGTATAGACCCCCTGGCAAAGATTCTTGGCCAACTCCACATTTTGTTTCTTTCCTATGCCACTCTCATTTTATTTCCTGTGGTGACCAGAAAAAAGATGTGAGAGTAAGCTAGGAATTCTCCATAGGTGGCACTGAAATTAGTTGTAAGTAAGTTCTCTTAAGATTTTTTTTTTTTTAAAGGCAAAACAAACCCCTTTTATGTTGTGTACTTCACCTTCCAGTCTGGCCATTCTGAGATACTTACCTCCCCAAATCCACCTTTCCCCAGGACTCGGAACTCCTCAAAATACTTTTCTGACACCGGCTGCATCTCAAAGACCTTCCACTGCAGAAACTTGTCATAGAAGGGGCTGGCCAGGAAATCCTGGAAGGGCTGGTCCTGCAAGAAGGCCATGACCTCAGCCTTGGCCTGTGCTACCAGGGCTATCTGTTCTTCCTCAGTGGAGGCTGCTTGGCATTTGGTAGCCAGTGCTGGACTGAAGAAGGGGTGTGGGTGCCCTGGAGCAGGGGCAGCCCCACAAGTGGCCAGCAGCCCCTGTAGCATGCTGCCCTTGACAGGGCCCTCTTCAGCCAGCTCCCAGCTCTGCACCTCCTCCAGGAAGGCCACAGCCTCTTGGTACCGGGGCACAGTGGCTAGAAAGTCCCGAAAGAGGCGACGGCCAATGGGTTGCTGCTCGCACAGGCTGTTGAAGTCCTGAGGCAGGGACTGGCGGAGCTGGGTGCAGCTCTGCGGCCCGGGCAGCGCCAGACTTCGGCGCCGCCGCTGCAGCTCCCTGCTGTCTCCGTCTGAGGACTTCCGGGCTTGCAGGTAGGCCGTGTTGGCGATCAGGTTGTCCAGGCCCCCCATGTCGACCATGACTGAACACAGGGTACGCTCCCGGCACAAGAAAAGGAAGGCTGGAAGGCAGTGGTGGGGACCCAGTCACGTCTGGGGGCCAGCTGGCTGGTTTCCTTGCCAGGTTCAGTAGCTTCCAGAGGATTTACAGCGAGAGCCCTCTAGTCTGTGGGTGGGACTGGTGGAGGGTACAGAAGGAGGTTTCTCTGGTAAGAAGCTTTGCTGGCTATGTATAGCTGGCCAGGGAAGGGCACACCACAGGTCACGCTCCTGTCCCTGAGAGGAAAGCAGCCTGACACACCTGTGGGGACTACTTGTTCATCATGGGAGCCTTTTCCAGACGCCTCTGCTCTCTGAATAGGCAGCTACCACTCTCCAAAGGAAAGGAGTCCCCATCAGGTGGTCTGCTGTTTGTTGCTTACAGCATTATTTTGTTAAGCTGTTTCTAATTTGACATGTCTCCTGCCAGGCTCAAGCTATGTAAATGCTTAGCAGCACCAAGCCAAGTCAGGAAGAGGAACAGTGAGAAGCAGAAGAGGTTTTCTTCCTTGTCTAGCAGCCTGACTCAGAGCAGGTTCCGGGGGGTGGAGGGGGGGACGCTCTGAAATTTTGAGTCCTGAGACGTGTTCCCAGAGGCCCTCGGGGACTCACGTTGTGGCCCTCGAGTGGGTGGTGTCTTTCCCACAGCCACTTGCATGCTGAACAGCCTGCAGCTATTGTCCAGTTATGGCTTTCCTCGTTCCCAGGAGCCTGAGACCCAAGTACTAGGCTAAGAGAAGAGGGGGCGGTCATCTTGACCTGAAACATCCCATGAAGTGACATAAGCAGAAAGAGAACACGACTTCACCACCTGTGGTTGCAACCGTCCTGAGGGCACAGTCTACTGAGCAGAATCTGAATGCGAAGGAGTCTCTTGCACTGAGAGGCTGAGAGCCGGGGCTGGTCGCTTTCAGGAGTGGCCCCTCCACATCTTTGCCAACACCCCCTCACGAAGCCAGGAAGCTTCCCTTCACAGAGATCACTCAGAGCCGCCCCAGACCACGACCTCACAAAGAACAGAAATTGGTTTAGACAGAGATCAGGCTAAGAACCTCTGCTCCAAAAATAACACTTGTGTCCTACAGGGAAAGAGTACTCGGGCTTTTTCTTCACAAAGCAAGGCTAAGGCAGCTTAAAAACAAAGTCATTCAGTATTATGCCAGAGTTTAAAAGGGAAAAAGAGAAAGAGAGAGAAAAGAGGAGGGGAAAAAAAGCCAGTCAGCCTTTTCCCAAACAAACAACTTCTAGCACACACTCTTGTCAAAACATCGTCATGACCGCCTCCGTCTGCCTGTCAGAGCCTGCCCACCGTTCCCCAGAGAAGATACACGCTTGGCCTCACGCTACCAAGAATTATGTAATGACCTCGTGGGTGCCCTTTGGCTTTGCACTGCTGAGCTGTAAGCCATCACCCCTATGGTAGAGATGGATCAGCCACACCAGGGACCACTGCTCAGAAGAGGCTACACCATCGGCTTTGAATCTCACACAAGAAATGTTGGTGCTTTTTTTTTGTTCTTGGGGCCACATTTCTGAGTAGTGAAAAATCAGTCTGATTTCACTCTTCAGGAGGAAATGCCTTTTCCTGTGGTTTTTATGAATACAATGGCAATTTAACAGGGCAGAACTTTGAGAAAATGGTAGAACTGTCATCACATGAATATTTAACCTTATCACCGGGGGAAAAAAGAATACTTTTTACTGACGAACGTGCATGCTATGAACTGCTCGATTCCACTTGGACTAATACTTTATCTCTAGTCATCACTTCACCCAGCACTGTCCAATAGAAATACGCAAATCACACGTGGAATTTAAGGTCTTCTAGTAGCCACAATAAAAAAGGTAAAGAAAAAAATGAGTGGAACTAACTTAAAAACCATTTCTTATTTAGCCCAGTATATGCAAAATATTATCATTTCAACATGTAATTGATATAAAAGTTGTTAATGAGATATTTTACATCCCTTTTTTATGTCCTGAGTTTTTAAAATATGTTTGTATTTGACACTTAGCTACATATACATCTCAATTCAAATTATCTACATTTCAAATGCTCAGCAGACATATGTGGCCTGTGGCTACCTTATTGGACAGCACAAAATTAATCCTTCCTTATCTAGTTTTGTCATTAAGTAAGAGAAATTGTTCTTAGGTTTGTTTGTTTTCTAATCAGTAATCCCACAGACCATCTGTGTAAAAAAAACAAAAAACAAAAAACAAACCTTTACTCTCTTATTCACTAAAAATTATCTGACTGATGAGAACACAATTTAGATAATATTTGAACACCAAGTTTAGAAATTATGTAATAACTACATGTTGCCTACTGGCAATTTGAAACAGAGTATCATTATTTTTAAGTCTTACCCACCTGCAGAAAAAAAAAAAAAAAAAAGAGGTCTGTTTAAAATGGAGCACTTTGGGCGCCTGGGTGGCTCAGGGGGTTAAGCCTCTGCCTTCAGCTCAGGTCATGATCCCAGGGTCCTAGGATCAAGGCCCACATGGGGCTCTCTGATCAGCAGGGTGCCTGCTTTCCCTTCTCTCTGCCTACTTGTGATATCTCTCTCTCTGTCAAATAAATACATTTTTAAAAAATCTAAAAAATTTTAAAAATAAAATGGAACACTTTGTATGATTACTAACAATTAGAGTCCAGGGCTTTTCCCACCTTGATGAAACAGTAACTGTAGATCCAATTAAAGAACAGCATTGTATCCTTAGCTTGAGAAGCAGAGTCAAGGGCTGGGTACATTCAGGATACCCTGTGCCAATGGGGAAAAGTACAAGAAAACCTGGATTGGAGATGTGACCCAACGGTTACAAGCACTAACTCCAGCCTCCCTTGGGAGAGCTGAATCTCAGCTCTAGGGAGGCCTAGCTGTGTGATCTTCAGCAAGTTACTTAACTTTTCTGAGCTTTGGTCTCATTATCTGAAAACAGAAATAATCAGTGTTGATTCTTAAGTAGGTTCTTTAGAGTATTAAATGCCAAATCTATCATCAAGACTTAATCTAAAATTATGCTTTTCTGATATGCAGAGAGGAGGTAGGTAGGAGATATGCAGATATGTAGATATGCAGAGAGGAGGTAGGAGGTAGGGACCTAAGCAATGTGGAAGAAGGTGGGCTTCTGTGTGAAATGCTCACCTGGTGTAGAGCAGCCAACTCAGGGTTTCACGTCATCTTGGGAAGTTGTGGAGTCTGGTGCAGCTGGAAGACAGACAGAATAAATGTGTTAAGTAAGCGATAGCAGAACTTCTAACGATAAACTATTCCAATGAAATGATTTATGACATTGTGCCATAAAAACAGAGAGTAAACTCTGTCATGTAGAAAGAGGAGATATTTCATTTTGAAAAAAAAACAAAAACTTTTATGATTGGGAAAACAAGAAAGTATTTTACTACCTTTTACGACTAATTTTGTCATAATAAAGAAAAAACAATGCTCTTTACCCACGTCTTCCATTACATTTTGCAGCATGTGGTTTAAAGCATTACTTCTGATATGTATGTTCTTCTTCTTTTTTTTTTAAGACTTTATTTATTTGACAAAGAGATAGAGCCAGAGAGCACAAGTTGGGGAATGGCAGAGGGAGAGGAGAGAACCAGGCTCTGCACTGAGCACAGGGATCCCGATACCGGGCTCCATCTCAGAACCCGGGGATCATGACCTGAGCTGAAGGCAGATGTTTAACCATCTGAGCCATGCAGGCATCCCTGATGTGTATGTTCTTAAATTTTAAAATGCTCTGCTGTCATATGACATTTGAAACTCAAAGAACATTAAAAAATTAGGTTAAATTAGTGATATGGTAGGCTTGGTTTGTTTCTCTAAGGATTCTTAACATTGAAAATACATCCTAGGATAAGGAAAATAGTGAAGCAAGGTGTCTAGAGAGAACATGACCCTCTTTTACAATCCACAGTTTTCTGCATGGCTGAATAGCACATGTATTGGAGGATGGAGAATTATGAAATAATATAACTTGACATGATGTGATCTCAGAAACAAGATACTTTGTACATCGAATGTAAGTTAGCATTAGGATATCCAAAAAAGCCAGATTATTCTTCAACTTCTGACTTAAATCTTTCCATAGAAAAGATTTTGCTTTTTTCTTTTAATAGAAGCCCTCTACTGGAAGGAAAAGCAAAAGGGTCTTTATCCTTCCAACAAGAGCCGAGCACGCTTTATATTTGAATGATCTGAAGAAGTCAAGGATATCTTATTGGTTAAAATTTGTTGAATACTAAACAGAGAACAGAGGGAGTTAGTAAATTTTAGACTACTGTTTCACTGCGGTTACAGAATTTTCTCACAAAAAAATTAGTTTTCAAGCACGTTGTCTTTTCTGTTGAAATACTGAATAGTAAGACCAATGAGTAGTCCTGCTGGATTTTCTTCAGCAGAGTTCTGGAGACATCTGAAGTTTTCTCAGTGAAATTAGAAAGGAGTGATACACAAGGTATTTTCAGAGAACTAAGTATAAAAATCATATAGGAGATAAAAATCACTATTTTATCCAGCATTTTAAGAGATATTTTTTCTATGGAAAATCTCAAACATACATATAGGTACAGAGAATAGTAAAATGAACTTTCTCATTCTCATCACCCAATTTTATTATTGGCATTATTAGCATTTTGCCAATTTTCTTTCACTTTCATCTAACACCCTCTTGTTTTGTTTGTTCTTTTTATTTTTATTTATTTTTTTTTAAGAGAGAGAGCATGAGAGTTGGTGAGGGGCAGAAGGAGCAGGAAAGAGAATCTTTTTTTTTTTTTTTTTGAAGATTTTATTTATTTATTTGACACACAGAGAGAGATCACAAGTAGGCAGAGAGGCAGGCAGAGAGAAGGGGAGGCAGGCTCCCTGCTGAGCAGAGAGCTCGATGTGGGGGTTGGGGGTGTGGGGGGGTGCTGGAGTGAGTGCTCTCTTCAGAACCCAACTCTGCTGGCCCTCTGACCTTGGACTTCC